CTGGGATATGCATTTGTTGAGTTTGAGGTTAATAATGAGTATTATTAATGAAATCTGTATCAGGAAGCTTGGTATGTGTTTGGCTTATCAAGTTCACTTTAAACAACTAATTGTTAAAACGTGTCGCTCTTGCACGTGGAAACCTGGCGTTATAGGATCCACGCGATGCTGATGATGCCGTTAAACAGCTCAATGGGTATGAGTTAGATGGCGCTCGAATTGCTGTAGAGTGGTCCCGCCGATCTGGTGGCCCCGGAAGCGGATGTTTCTTATGTGGTGGACAGGGCCATTGGGCTAGGGAATGTCCGGATGCTAGAGAAAAGGGTATGGATGTTAGAAGTGGTCGCTGCTTTCGATGTGGTGAATTAGGTCATTTGGCTAAATACTGCAGGTGAATTTCTATAGCAGGCAAAACTTAAGGATGAATTTTTATCAGTAAGCATTTCTAATGATTAAAAATTGACATCTATAAACCATTTTGTAGAGGTGGCGGTGATTATGATCGTAGAGCTCCATCCCCTCGTTATCGGGGTCGTTCTCCATATTATGGAGGCCGTGGCGGTGGTTATTACGATGATTACGATCGTTATCGTCGAATCTCTAGGTCTCCACCTGCATACGGTGGTTCAGGTAGTGGTTCTTATGGTCCGCCAAGAAATCGTTCAAGGAGCCCCGTCTATAGACGAAGTCAAAGCCCTTATGGATATAATGATTATAGAAGAAGTCCAAGTCCTTATGGGTATGTTTTAGGACGGTGACTTTTTTTCCTGGGATTATCTACATTCCGCTAGTTGCTATGTGTTCGTTGATCTCTGCCAGAAATGTTTCTGGATTAGTGGAAAGCGTACTCATTAAGAACATGAGGAATGCTTGGATTATTTATGGGCAATGGCTCAACGTATATTTTTTTTTTTTTTGGAGGTTTTAAATTTGAGGAGAGATGTTGGGTATACGAGAACTTGTTGAATATTTTCGTAGCTCACAAATTTTTTTTTTCTTTTTTTTTTCCGCTCCTTGCGTTTTCCATACTGGATACAAATTTCCTTCCCGGAACGACATTTTCTTAGACGTTCTAGAAGATATTAAGAATCAGAAAGCGATACAGTGACATAGTCACGGTACTAGTTGGATCGTGTACAAAATCAAGTGGACTGGCAAAAAAGACTTCGTATACGTAATATGATTATTTTATTATTAAATCCGTTACCTGTCCTAAATCACCTATTGAAAATTTGTTACGTACGTACGTACATTATTTTTAGTCTGTTAGACTATGGAACCGGTGTAGAGTGTCCGTCATATACGTATAATCTGTTAAAAATTGTTACACATATAAATCTTCATTATAAATATACTAAATTTTTTTTAAAAAATTTTTACTATAGCTTATGCATATTTTTATATTTTTGTCAAGTGAAAAATTAATGGTATCCTAAAAATTCCTCATTATAAGCCAGTGTTTATTATCGAGAGTTGCAATAACAAATGACTTGTTAAATGGTTCTGTAATTTGTGAAAAAATATTTATTGAATATACTGTTATATACTGTATATACTATTATTATTCAGTGTTGTTAATTTTGGCTTCCAGTGAGAAATTCTGGCCTTCTGATGAGATTTTGCAATAGTAAAGTTCCGGTACTGTTAATTTTACTTTCCAGTGGTCTTCTAGTGACAACATTGAGTAGTAATAATGTCACACTATATTAATGAACGGGATCCGCCAATAGGCTTCATGATCATATGATAATTAACAAGTTATTTTACTAATAATAGTTTAAACATATTTTTTAATTTGCTCACCCACAGCTTACAAGCAGAATGATAATTCCATTTTTTATAAAGGGCGCAACCGATACTAAACCATATTAGTCATCGGGCGGATTAGTAATATGAAAGATACGGTTGATTCTGGAATGTTCTTAACTGTTAAAATTCTAACGTTAAGTATCTGTTATGTACGCATACCAGATACACGGGGCTAAAATAATGTGACAAAAAAAAAAAAAAAAAATCAAGAAAGTGTTAGTTTTATATATTATCCAAACCTTATATGGCAGTTAATTATTTTCTATAAAAAAAAATAATTCTGTTTTGTTTTATAACATTCTTAATTCATATTAATTATTGAATAGTTACATAATACGTATAAAGTATCTTAGAATCGTATACTAAAAAAAAGGTCAAAAAAAAAAGTTTAGGCCCATCTATTAGTATCGCTTAATCTTATTACAAATGTCTGTTGCAGAGTCTAGTAAAAAGTGAAAAAAAAGATCTGCTATTACTTTAGAGAAGAAAGTTGAGAATATTAAAAGAAAAGAAGAAAATAAGAACTTAACTCATATAGATTTGGCCAAAGAATATGATATTGATAGATCTACAATAAGCAATATTTTGCAAGATAAAAATAATCTTTTTCAGTTATATAATACAATATCTGCTTATATACAACAATGTGTTCACTTACAAAATGAACAGTTTCATATTATTGATGAGGCTGTTTATAAGTTATTTTTAGAACTACGTTCTCATAATGTTTCTGTTTCACAGGATATGCTTAAAACAAAAGCACTTTCAATATATAAACAATTAAAAAATAGTGGTATGAAATTTCCAACTACATTTGAGGCATCTAATGGTTGGGTATCTGGATTTCAATGAAGATTTGGTATTAGTTCAAAGACCATATCTGGAGAAAGTGAATCAGCTAATAAAGCTGCAATTGAAAGTGGGCGATGCCATTTTTAAGAATTACTTAATAATTATTATTCTGATAATATTCTTAATGCTGATGAGACAGGCCTTTATTTTCGTCTTGGACCAAATAAAACACTTGCATCTAAAGTGATACTGCTAAAGGATATAAAAAAGACAAGTCATGTCTTACTATACTTCTTTGCTGTAATGCATCAGGAACTCAAAAATTTAAACCATTTGTAATTGGCAAAAGTGCACATCCAAAGTGTATGAAATATACTAATATGTCAAAATTACCTGTACATTATTCAAACAATCAAACAGTATGAATGATGGGAAAAAAATGGAAAGATTGGTTAAAATAGTAGATAGTCAAGTTAATCAGCCTACAATTCTTTTAGCTGATAATTGTAGTGCACATTCAAGCTCTAAATTGTAAAATATTAAATTAGAATATTTACCACCTAATACTATATCAGTTATTCAACCATGTGATGCTGGCATTATTAAAAATTTTAAAGTTAATTATTGTAAATTACTAGTAACAAAATGAATAGATGAAGTAGAAAGTGGAAAATCAATTGAACCAATCAATATAAAAGAAGCTATTTATATGATTTCTGATACTTGGAAACAAGTATTACCATCAACAATTGTTCACTGTTGGAAAAAAACAAAAATACATCCATTAGAGATAAATTTAACTACTAATACAAGTAATAATAATGATATCAATGAACTTGAGCAGTTATTAGAAGAATTAGAAATGTCATATGATTATATTAAATTATCAGCCAAAGAATATGTAGAAGTAGATAAGCATTTGCAAATAATAGATATACCAACTGAAGAGTCTGTTGTTCAAGATATTCTTAAAGAGTAAAATTTGATTAATGATGAAGATTCAAATAATGAAGCTGATGATGAAGAGGAGGAAGAAATTATAGATGATTTAGTTTTATATAATGAGAGAAAAAAGGTATTAGAAGTAGCAAATAAATATCTTGAGCAATCGCAATTTGCTACTAAGGATGATATTTATTTGCTGTGACAAATTATTAAAAAAGCAGAAAGTTTTTACCGATCTAATCTTAAGCAATCAACTATTGACAAATATTTTATAAATCAATAAAATTAATATGTTATTATATATATTAAATAAATTACATATAATATAAATAAAGATATATATTAGCTACAATTAAATAAAATGTTTAATTCTTAAAAGATATTTATAAATTAAATAATATAATAATTATATTTACTACATAGCTATATATTTAATTTATTAGTATTATTTTTCTTTTATTTAAATAAATTTATATTATCTGGCAAATTCATATGATCATGAAAAAATATCTTTCTGTTATTTTTTTCATGTGTTATGATATAATTATGTTATTCCAATATTCAAAAAATAAAACTTAGCAAGCGACTCTCTATCAATTATAATTATAAATTGCCAGATAACATCATTATTGAGCAAATTGTTGAACACAGTAATTTGGCAAATAATTGGCTACATGTGCTGCAAAGCGGCACATACTCATTTGCCAAATTGCTATTATTCAACAATTTTTGCCCAATAATGTATACTTATTTAAAAATTTAAATTCTGATTGGTTCGATATCATGTGACTATATATACTTAATTTAGATTATACCTTAGTTATATCCCCACCTCAGTTATATCCCCAAAAATACTCTAGAAAAAAGGGGGAATATAACTCAGGTATGACTGTAAGCTGATAAAGTGTAATATAAATTTAGTAGTATGTTTAAGTGTAAAATATATTTTAGTAGCATATTAAAGTGTGAATAAATTTTTAGTAGAAGCTAAGGTTTGAAATAACAATTTTTTTTAAAAAAAATTGCTTAGTTGGAGTATAGTATTTAAATTGGATATAATTTAAAGTTATATTTTTAGCTAGTTAAACATAGTATTTAAATTAAGCACAGTTTTAAAAAATTGTATTTTTGCAAGTTTTTTTTTTTTTACAAAATTAAACAAAAAAATACATACAAACATACAAGAATATATATTCTTATATCACTATCTATACTTAGAATACTATAATTCACAGTAATAAAACAACATTTAGCTAAAACAATAAAATTATAACTTTTGTTCTGTTACAAAGCTACATAATGCAAGTTTTGATTACTAAAAAGTTTAAAAAATTAATATAACTGAAAAAAAAAATAAATAACTTTCAAAAAAAGCTAAAAAAAAAATATTATTTATGAAGTTTCTTGTCAAGTCTTGTCAAAGCAAATTTTTATTTAAATCTTGTCAAAATATTACTTAACAAGTCTTGTCAAATCAAATTAATACCTGATGCTAATTCTGTTATTTTAAGTAAAACCAAGTTTACAAAAAGAAAAAAAAAGTTAGTAATTATACTAAATAAGAAAAAAAAAATCAATAAAAAAATTAAACAGTGCATTAAGTATATTAGTATTAGTATTTTCTATATTGGTTTTTGTAAATATTCTATTTACTGATTTTTTGATTAGTTTATTAATAATCTACCAAATATAGTGTTATATACTAAGTTACTAATTGGATAGCTAGCCTATGATCAACCTATGCTTTTCCAAAATTTGAGAATATTTCCCATGCTAAGAATATTGGCTTTAATAATTATATTTACTAATGCAATATTAATTTGCTCTTGTTTATTTATATTAGTAATAGCTATGTCAAGAGTAGTTTAGCAATTTAATTTAAATTTTTTAGTATTAATAATATTATTCTTATATTTATTAGATTTTAAATACAAATTTGCTATAATTTTTTTTATATAATCAATGTCATATTTACAAAATTCACAAACCATTTTTTAACTATTAATATAAAATTTTTTTTTATATTAACATTTTTGAGTCTGCATTTAGTTGAAAAAATTATTATTATTATCAAAATTTGTAAAAATTTATAAATAAATACTATTATAGAGTGAATTGTATAGATATTTAATTTAAATATTAAGAATAATAAAAATAAATAATAAGACAACTTGTTATAAATATAGCAATAATAATTTAGCAATATAATATACAGAGGTTTTATAAAAGTTTATTTTATTATATGATTGTTAACTTTAAGATTATTATTTACAATAACAAAACAAAAGTCTTTTTTATAATAAAAAATATAAAATACTTTGGAATTAAACTAAAACTACTCTTTCTAATTCTAATAATACATATATAAATACTGCAAATCTTATATCTTCAGATCTTCTTTTTTTAATATTTTATTCTTA